CAAGGAGAGAGAACATCAATTGGCCGCCTCCTGCATGCCCCCCATTGGGGATTTGGCCCACAAACTGGGCATGTGCCCTGACCAGGAATCAAACCGGTGACCTCTTGGTGCATGGGTGGATGGTCAACCACTGAGCCACACCAGCCGGGCAATCCTAGGTTCTTAAAGCTTATTTCCCTTCTACATATAAGGTTGTAAAACTTAAAGCAAAAAAGAGACAAAGGGACAACATTATAAAGGGTATTCAGCCAATGATTCAACTCTTTTAAAAATTCTACTCCGGATAAAAGCAGAATACAATTTTGTATGTGTATAATAATCCCTCATCTAAGTGAAGAAGAAAGCACAGAGATTTTTTTTAAAGAGTAGAAGGAAATATAGCAAGAGTTAATGCAGCTATTTGTAAGAATGGTATAAAGGGTAAATTTTCATTTTTTATTATTTTTGGTACTTTCAAAACTTTTTACGGTGATCAAAAAACTATTTAATGCACAGAAATTCCACTTTATGAAGACGCTCAGGCCCCATTCTCTGCAATAAAACCAGTGTCGATGGGGACAAAAGACCCAAGTCCTGTTCTTCAGAGCATCGTGCGTAGTGGGGAGGAACTCAGCCCAGGGCAATAGGAGGGCGAGGAGGGGCAGGGCCTGTTGAGGGGCCAGAACATCCCAGAAAGGGAAAGATGTGGGGCAGCATTCTTCAGGTGAGAAGAGCAGGGGTCAAGGCTCAGAAGTGAGAGAAAATAACTTTCCAAAAACAATGAGTGGTTCACTCTGACCTTGGTGAGCCCGAAAGATGCAATGGGACAGATAGAGAGATGAGGCCAGGAAGGAATGAGATCTCAAGGGCTCCACCAACCAGCTGAGGAACTGGAGTTCCGCCCTGGCCACTGGAAGGCTTTCAAGTACCTGAAGACTCAAGCCTGAAACTTTGAGGGACTTAATGAATCTTGATCTCTATCCAACTGATGGGGTTGGTTTGGAGACCTTTCTAGGGTCATATTTACCAATAAGACCAGGCTTCTCTTTTCCTAGCGAGGAGGAAGCCTTCAGAGGCCTCTGTTGACTTCTCTACTACCTGATGAGATAAAATTACAGAAAAGAAATCTCTCCATCAACTTTGCATATTTTAAGACCTTAATCAAGACATTGAAGAGGTTGCACCCTAACTTCCAGCCCTCTCCTCTAGCTCCCTGTGACAAGGTCCAGACGGCCAATGCTGAGGGTCAGAGAATATTCAAAAGCGGAGTCACTTGCCTCAGGCATGTGCCCTAGAGCTGACATGGACTCCAAGGTCTGATTAGTAAACAAATAACTACATAGGTTCTCTTGGTGAAAGGTTTCTGTGAAGCTCCCAGAACATTTCTAATAGCATTTCTAACACGATTGTGGTGCTTTGGCCAGATGTTTTCCCCTAGTTGAAGAGGTGCTTGAGATCATATATAGTGTAAATATAATCTTCCCAGTCTAGAGTTTCTACAAATTCATTTCCAAAATATTTCAAATTTGCAGCAGGTATTTCAGAAAATGTGATACCAATTTCTTCTTATCAGAAAAGTGACTGCATTTTTGGACAGAAAAGATCATGCTAAATGGATAAGTTGGTTCTCTTTTAACTGAAATTAGAGAGCCTGGGCCGTAGTCACCTCTACAAAAGGTGAGAGAAGAGTCCCCTCCTGGCAATTCTAGAATAATTGTTTCAGAAAGAGGCCAGTTAAATGAACCCACCTTAAAATAACACCAAATTTCATACTAAAATATGGGCAAGATTCCATTTAAATATTATCTTAAAAAATAAATTATAAAACTAAGATGTATTTTATCTTAGATTCAACAAAATGTAAGTTATAATTGTAACTCAAATTTGAAACTAGAGAAAGCAAGAACAGATTCTGCTGACGTCTTTTGGCATACTTTTTCTGGCAAAGTCGTATAATGCGATCCAATATCCTTGAATTCACTTCTGACTTTTGCAACATAAAAAGGTTCATTTTTGCAAATATGTTAGAAAGAGTCATCGGTTTTGTTGTTGTTGTTTTTCTAATGGCATCTCCTGCTCTTTGTTATTGAAAATATGCTTTTTTGAAGCCCATCTTGTCATCTCCCTTATTAATACTCTCGTCTTCGATTCAAAGTTACTTTCAGTAACTTCATAAAATTCTGCATCTTTAGCCAGATTCACAAGTTCAGTGTGTTATAATTGTATTGTATTATAGAATCTTCACATTGCCAGGCAATCAGCAAGGAATGAACTAACAGAGAGCGGGCTCAGAGGAACAGATACACAGAAGAGATATTTGAGTTGAGATGAGTTTTATACGTGGTCAGTTAACTGGGAAATATGTCAATTTTGTGATCACTTTTACTTCTCTGCAGAAACTCATAACCTCATCTTGGATACCAAGCACTCTGTACTTTCTTTGCAATCTCCTTCAGATAAGACAAAAAGGGATGGGTTTGTCTTCTAACAGCAGACTCTCAGATAGACAAATAGTGTTATAGCAGAAATAAAAGCTGGAAGACCAAGATTTGCTCCCAAACTCTGCCACACGCGAGAGTCATCACCAAGTTTAACGGGGAGAGCCTTAGATTCACAGCCACACTCTCACTTGCCCTTTGAAATCTACCGTGAGGTGTTTACAGCGTCACCTTATCTGACTCTGGATTAACAAATCCTGTTTCATTTCAGTGGCTGCCTGACAACCTCATTTCTGAGAACAAGGGGCATCACAGGTCAGTCTTAGGAAAAGAACCCAGAGAGGAGGTGGGTTAGAGAAGACTGCAGCTGGAGAGTGGAATAGAAGAGGAACAAAAACAGCATCAGGTGGGCATAGATCGGGAGAGGAGTTGGGAGGGCTCCCACTCCACGATGAGACGACATCCAACCAGCCACCTTCTCAGAGTATAACTGAATGGCAGAACATCCTGAATATGCCAGTCCTGTCTACAACCAGAAGTGGACCAAAGGCAGCACCGCATCCCCTCTCCGGCCTTCGGTGGTCTTCATATACACAGTTCATATTTGCCATGTTTTCTCTTATATTGAGGTAGCAAATAACTGTTTGGCTGACCAGAGTAGACTCTGAGTCCCTATAAAGAATGGCCACGCATCTTATTTATCTTAATATTTTCACCCACTCTTCCTTCTCCACCATTTTCTCTCTCTCTCTCTTTCTTGCACATAATAGAGGCTCAAAAATTTGTTTATTGAACTGAATCAAACCTTCCGCTCAACATTAAGTCTGATGTTCACAAAGAAAGGGCATAGGAAGCGATACCAGCAAAGGCCCTGAGATGTAATTCTTCTGTAATTCTCAAGTTAGAGGGAAAAGGAAAAAAGGTAGTTGGCCACCTTAGCAAGGTTGGATGGTCTGAGAAACAACAGAAGACCTTCAGACTGAGCCCTCTTCGAACCAACCCGCTTTCAGAATAGAACTGAACATACCAATCTGTCAGCAGCCAAAGGATGATTTAAAAAAAAGGATGTTCTTGATGTTTAACATTCCTAAATTCCTTCTCATACTATGAAAGCAAAGAGATCTATAATCATCTCTTCCTGAAGATTTCCAGGGACTGCTCATGTTGCAAACCCGTAACACCATCCATTATAAGATGCCTCATTAATCACTAAGAATTTGGAAAGGGCCTGACAAGAGATCTCTTGACTTCAGAACTGTTCAGATCTTTTTCAGCTGTTGGATGCCAACCGTTGCCTAATTATTTTCCATAACAATATCTGTATCTAGTGCCTTCAGTGTAGGGACGCAGTGAAGCCTCTACATCTTTAATACAGGAAATCTGCTTCCCTTCCCAAAGTACCAACCCGACAGGTAGCCTACTGAACATGCTTAAAGAATCCATGAGAGTGGTCTTCAAGACAAATAAAAGATCTTCATTTTCTAATAATCTTCATTTTAGACATAATTATTCTGCTATTAATTATTGTTCTACTCTGTTCAAGCTCAAGAAGAAACAATCCAGGACAACTTCAGGTTCTTCACGTTCATTAATCTTTCGACACTCTTCGCATATATTGTCAAGAACTGAGCACTGCCCCGGCCGGTTTGGCTCCGCAGTTAGAGAGTCGACCTGCAGTCCAGAAAGACCCGGGTTCGGTTCCCGCTAAGGGCATGTACCTCGGTTGCAGTTTGTCCCCGGCCCTGGTTGGGTGGTGCGGGAGGCAGCCACTCGATGTGTCCCTTTCACGTCGATGTTTCTCTCTCTCTCTTCCTCTCTCTCCCTCCCCCTCTATCTGAACGAAAAATGGAAAAATGTCCTTGGGTGAGGATTAAAAAAAAAGAACTGAGCACTGACCTAATTACATAACCATGCTGAAGATTCTCGGCTTTTTGTGTCATCTGAGTCAGTCCAATAATCCTCCAGTTCAATCAAGTCCAAAGGCATGACAGATGCAGTCAATGGCTCACCAAAACCCCCTGAGACTTCCGTGAGAACCTAGAGAACTTGCTAACTATTCCTTCTCTACAGTCCCACACTGCACCGGTGTGAAGACCAAGGCGAGCAATGGAAAGAATGTTTGATTCGGTTCTGAAATGAAAGGCTGTCATCGGGCTGTGAGTGGATGTTACACACTCACCCTTTCACCATGGTCCAGGCTGGAACAGCCCCTGTAATCACTCCCTGCATAGACTACAAAAGTGTGAGGATGTTACCATGTGCTACCCACTGTCTCTCTCATACAAACTCAGACAATACCTCCTCCTGAGCATGCAAACTCAACATAAGGAAAATGGTGTAACTTGCATTTCTCATTTTACCTTATTTATCATAAAATTCAGCTAACTTCAGTACCTAATCAGAGTGATTTCAATGAGATCATCTGCAATGCCTATTTATTCATCTCCTTCTAAATGGCCTTTGCTCTATTTTATCCTTCACGTATGTTATAGTCAGTCTTGTAAACTGCTCCAAACCACATGCTAGAGACATACAAAATATGCCATTCTTGGCAAATGTCTATCTTTCCTGGGACAATCTTACCTGCAAATGAGTCTATTTTTCACCAAGGCTGTGAAGATCTCCTGAAATAGTTTATGCTGGGGATGTTGGCTGAAATTCCTCTCATTCTTGTAGTTTATACTGAGATGAAACAAACAGAAAAGTATTTCACAATAAAAATTATTTAGGGTGCCTCAAAGCTACCAGAAAAAGATCACCTGTATTCATGCAAATGTTAAAGGATTCTTGGGTTTTAATATATTGCCAAAGGCAAATACCAGTTGTTAAAACAGGAAATAGAAATTCAGCTACAAAGTTAATATTAAGGATTACAGTCAAGCACAGATATTTCATTTTACCACATTAACTAAATTATGCCCTACAAATACTGAACAGCTGAAAGTGGTCAGAGGAAGGAAAGGAGAATGTGGGGAGAAGGAATGACTGGGCACAATATCTTGGCAGCTGAGCAGTGGGCAGAGGAGCCCCTCCCTGCACTTTTCTACCCACCACGACCTCAAAGGCTCTGTAGCTACTAACCCCAGTGGCTGTCATACACATTTCCCTGTCGATGGTAGGGATTTATGAAACACTGTCTACGCCCCTTCAACTGTGCGAGTTTTTGTGGTTGCTAAGTGTGTGTGTGTGTCTGTGTTTGAAAAAGTCCAGCTTTGACTTCTTTTTTTCTGATATTACAGCTGCCAGAAGTTAAAAAATACCCCAAACATTACACTTTAGAACTGGAAGAGGATAAGCGATAATGTACAAATGGTCACATTGCTACAGAATATATGATACATTTTCGTGCCGGGTAAAGTAGATCAATTTTAAGATCTAGGCTAAATAAGCTGTAATTACATACACATAGCACCTCAAAAGCAATCACTGGGCCCTTCCTCTGCCCTCTGTACCATTCTGCCTTTGCAGGTAGCAGAGGACAGTGTGTCCCCACCTAGGCAGCTCGGGGTTTTGATGCTTTCTTAGCACGTAGACACTGGTAGACTAAATATGCAATGATCTTTAAAGAATTTAGTGTTCCTCACTAAAACTCTGTTTTAAAATTTTAAATTCATACCATCAGGTGACTTTTGTGACTAATACATTCACTGCCATAAAATGACAGGGAAACAAAATCTAGGCCAAATAAATAAAAGATCATTCTAGAATATTCATCTTGATCCCTCATGCCATTCACTGTTTACATGGCACTTAGTGCCAAGTGACATTAGCACATCGTAAAGCTGACAGAACCTGCCGGGAGGGGAGGGCCACGGGTGTGCAGCTCCTGAAAGTGTACCTGCAACAGGAGAGACCAGCACGGGCTGACTCTTTCAGGGTGAAAAGTGTGAAATCCCTTCATCCGAAAGCCCCGGTTGTTTCGACAACCACGGCCTTTAGCCACCACATCTGTTCACAGCCACAGGTTCCTTTATTTCTGCTCATTGCTGGCGAAGTAGGGACACACCAAGCTGAAGACGAAGCTAGGAATCAGCCTCGCGGGGTCAACTCCATGGAACCACTTCCTCGTGGAGCAGATGCCAAGTCACGTCAGCAACGTGTCCTGAAGCTCCCAGTTGGCCTGGCCGGCAGCCAGCAAGCCTGTCATTTACACACTATTTCTGGGAAGGGTTTAACACTGAGGAGCATTATTAAGAATCCTCATGGTAAATTTTGAAGTGGGTTTCAAAGTTTAGCTCCCATGATAAACTGCAGCAAAGCGCTGGGCTAATTAGGATAGGTTGCTAAAGGCAAGGGAGATACTGGATTTCTTACCTAAAATTCTCAAGTTCAACAGCTTCTGTGGACTCGTGCCGCTGACCTCGAGCTCGGGGTCCACCCGCCTTGATGGCGGGCTCAGACTTCGTCATGCTATTTTGGGAACTATCGAAGTTAATGGCTGGAAGCTACAGAAATAGAAGCACAGAGGACGTGAGGATAACAATTCAGCACAGGATAAAGACAGTAACAAATTGGGCGGGTGGGTGGGGAGACAGGGTGAAGGGAACAAGTCTTTTTTCAAACCAATAGTTAATGTGACAGCTATGTCAAATGTAGGGGTTTTCCAAGATTTAACCATCTGTGACAGACATTTCCTCTTTCTACCTTAGGCTGCTTCATTTTTCTTCATAGCTCGGAACACCACCTGTCGTATCTTGTAGTTATTTACCATTTTCAGTCTCCCTTGAATAAAGTGTCAGCTGGACATGAGCAGGAGGAGCTGGCCTGTTTCTGTTCAATGCTATACCGCCACCACCTCAAGGCTGGGGACACAGGTCTGGGCAAGGCCTAGGCACTAGAATATTTTGAAGTTTCTCGGGTGATTCAAATGTGAAACCAGAACAGAGAGTTTCAGGATTCAGCTAGAGCACTCTGGTATAGAGTGGAGCCCCAAACTGCAAGTCATCATTCATTCATTCACTCATTCATTTGCTCATTCATTCTTCAACATTTACCAATCATACACACCACTTACTAGGTGTCGGGGATATAAAGGTAAAGGAGACCCTATCACTTTTAATTAGTCTGAACATCATGAAAATATACTATAGAATGAACCATAAGAAAAGTAAAATGTGCTTAAATCAACTACAGCTTGAACATGCCCCATTTACAGTATCAATTGGTAATTATTTACATAATAAATTCTCAAGTTATCAGCCTTCGAATAGTTTCATTTACCAATATTTACCTACAATTGGGTCAACCTTGAAAATTGTTTCTTGTACCACAGTACAACAGTTCACAGTGCAAACAAATAGCATATTCTTTTCAAAGTACAAAGGATGTTCTATAATTAGCTGAATTACTACATATGAGGTAAGTAGAGCATAATATAACAGAATAAAGGATCCAATTTTTAATAAATTGTTCCATTCTACACATTATAATGATCAAATAAAGCTAAAATATGTTGTACTTGTCTTATTCCATCAAAGTATTTGATAGAAATCTGCATAAGGACATCATTTCCTTATCCAAAGAGAGTACATCTGATTTCCCATAAGGCAGTTAGCTTATAGAACAATGATGAGGATATTGTTAAATAACTAGCAAAAAAATCCTTCATCATATGCTAGCCACAGTTGAACTCTCTCAAAATATTAATAATAAACCTTTCATCCTATAAAATAGGATGTTGTCTTGTGGTGGTTATGGATTGGCCCCACTGAGGCAAACACCACTTTATAGATGAGCAAACTGAGACACAGAGGGGCTAAGCGACTTGCCTAAGGGTCATGCAGCTGGCAAGGGACAGAGCTAGATTCAAATCCCGATTACCTCCCTCCCGCTCTGACACTCTCAGCCCTCCAACATCTGTTTATCTCCAATGATAAAAACGCATTCTTAAGTCCGCACATTTGCTTTTCAGTGGTGTCCTTCACACTGAGCTGGAAATCTTTCTTCCTGTGTTCCATCCCTGTCTTCCCGTCCAGCATCATCACCTTTCACAATATTTGAAAGGACACAATTGTTTCTTTTTTTTTTTTTATCCTCACCCGAGGACATTTTTCCATTTTTTGTTCAGGTAGAGGGAGGAAGAGAGAGAGAGAGAGAGAGAGAGAGAGAGAGAGAGAGAGAAACATCGACGTGAAGGGACACATCGAGTGGCTGCCACCCGCACGACTGACCAGAACTGGGGACAAACTGCAACTGAGGTACGCGCCCTTAGCGGGAACCGAACCCGGGTCTCTCAGGACCGCAGGCCGACGCTCTAACCGCTGAGCCAAACCGGCCAGGGCCACAATTGTTTCTTTAAGCATGCCAGGTGACTTGTTCCGGAGGCCTCCCCAGACTCCATGCTGTGAGGACAAACAACCCCGTGGAGAAGCTTTCCACCAACCAAGGGCCCCGGCTGCCAGCCTCGTGGAATGAGCCTCCTTGGACGTGGACCCTCCTGCCCCAGTTGATGCTGACAGAACCACAGCCTCGCCGGCACCTCACGGCAGCCCCATCAGAAACCTGATCCAGGACCGTCCAGGCAAGCTGCTTTGAATTCATGATCCACAGATGGGTGAGGGACCATAAATGACCACTGTTGCTTTAAACCACTAAGTTTTGGAATGACTTGCTATGCAGTGTTTTATGACAAATCCACCACAGAATAAAATAACAACCCGCAAGGCCATACAATATAAATAAATAAATGAATAAACAAAAAATTAAAAGAACACACCCCAAGTTCTGGCTACACCGACTGGTCACCCATCCCGGAAACCACCGTAGTGTTTGACCACTCCATGCCTGGGCATGTGTTGCACAGGCTGTAACTCCAGATCACCTTTCAGGGCTCAGCTCAAACAGCCTCCGGGTGAGCACCTGCCCAAGCCTTCCTGGTTGAGTGGTTCCCTCCCTCCCTGGTGGCTTACTGTGTTGATCTCTCTATAAGAGCACTTATCATGGTTTAGTGCAGTGTCTCATTTACCCAGCAGCCTTTCCTCCTCAAGGGTGACCACGCTGAGGGCGGCATCACACCTGTCTATCTCTGTGTTCTTAGCCCCTCTCCCAGAGCCTGGCACGTTGAAGGTGTTCAAATGTGAAGCAGTTGAATGAATGCTCACTTTTCACAGTCTCTTGCTAAACTGATTCATCTGGTACATTACCTCCAGCCGAGTCCAGCCATTAGTGTGTTTGTTGCAGACACATCATTTGCCAGACGATGTGTGAGACACTGGGTATAAGTAAGTAGGATGGTCACAGCCTCTGGCCTCAAGGAATTTACAGACCCATGAGGGTGGGAGAGAGGTTAAACTACCACAAGCACATGCTGCAAAATTAGTGAACAAGAGTTTGCTGTGCTAGAAAGATAATAGGGTGGGCCATGGACCAGGATGCTAGGAGTAGTCGAGAGCATTCTAGGCAGATTTTTACACAGGCTGGAAAGCAGAGAAACTCTGGGTGCTTTAGAAACTGCAGGGTACCCGAGCAGCTTGAATAATGCCAGCGGAAAGGAAAGAGGCTGAAGGATAACACAAAGGGCCTTCCTAAAATGTTGATCATGCAACTTCTGCTTGGAAAGTTCAACGTTCCCTGCTGCTTATGGGATCATGTCGCATTTGTAGATGGGCCTTCAGACACTTAACACTCTCTTCTAGCTTTATCACTGCTTCCAACAGAAATGTCTAGTCATCATTCGGCGTCAATGCGTGTTGCTTTCTTTCCTCCAGAAAGAAAGACTTTCTTTCTCACCTCTACTCGATGCCCCTAGAACACCTTTCCCATCCAGTCTACTCCAGAGAAACCAGCCCACTGTCAAGAATCATCTCCTTCCCTGTGACTCAAGCTCAGAGTTGGCTTCCTCATCCTCCTGAAAGTCTGTATACCCCTGTCCATGTCACCTGCCAGGATTCTGGTCTTGCTGTCACATACCAGAATTGTCTTTGCTTTGCTCGTTCTGTCAGACCACAAGAACGGTACCTGATACTTTTTCTTTCCACAGCATCTAGCAGAACCTCTTTTATTTCAAAGGCATTTAATGGACCTATAATTAACTTTTTTCTTCTATTTTTTTATTGAAACCAATTTCTCAGCTCCCTGTGGCTTTAAATATGGGGGAGGGGGGGAGTCAAAATTCCATCTCTAGGCAGATTACTTCAAGATTTGTGAAAACCTCTGGTGAAATCTCCAACCAACTTCGCGATTTCCCTTTGTTGCAACAACCCTGGAGCAATTGTTTTCCTTGAATTACTTGGCTTCGCTGGGTTATGATCATTCTCACCCTGCTTAGGATGAAGCTGGGGGTCTACATCCGCCTCAGTGTGTGTCCGCCTCCACTTGTCACCCTGTGGGGCTGTCCTACGGAACAGCAGCCTCTAATGTGCTGAAGAGCAAACAGGACAAAGGGCAAAGCAGACACGGGAACACAAGGGACACTGAGGGAAGTGGTGGGCTCATTAGATTCAGATGAAGGACATTCGCTTCTTGCAGAGCTCTGCCCAGCCCCCCAAGTAGATTTCCTCTGCAACTGGTTAATTGATCAGCATGGCCCATCTACAAACAGCAGGCCTGGGCTTGCTGGAACGGAGTTCGGAGTTCGGGTGAGTGGGCTAGTCCCGAGTCTCCGTTTTCAAACTGGCTGCTGACAGTCTCAGAGCCAACGACACATCTTGATGGGCATTTCTGCCTGACTCCGACTCTACTTTGCTCCAATATTTGTTTTTCTTTCTTCTTTGGCCCTGGTTTTAAGTAATATAACGTATCATGCTGTACGTATCTTTACAAGCCTCCTTTCTCTCTTTCTGGAACAAGACATAAATAAATTCTCGATTTATTCTCTCCAGTATCTTTCTTCTCCTATAAATGTCTCTACATTATTTTATGGAAAGGAGAATAGGGTGTTCAGAATAAGATTGATTATTTTAGAATTTAAAATGCGTGAAAGTTTTATAAAGAGAATTAGAAATAAATTTTGGGAACCTTAGGACCTACACATAGCTGTGCACAATTATTTTTCTTTTCTTTTTTTCTTGGAACCATCTACTTTCTGAACAACTCAAACATTACAAATATGCATTTTTGTAAATGTGAAATATTTCACAAAAAGATGCACAATAGGAACTCGTCGGACAACAGACTGCCAATTCTAAAACTGGTTAAAGGGGAGGGAGACGATTAAAGTCACTTGCGTTAAGCCCGCCAGGTGTCGAAAGGGGACACAATAGATCTCGTGGGCATGAGCTTCAAAGTTGGAAAATGACCGCCAGCACCACGGCGCGCAGGTCCTTCTCCCCGGCGGCCGGTTATGACACCCATCCGCGTGGTAAGCCAGTTCTTAAGACACAGTTCCATTTGGCAAAAACGGACCAAGAATTCACGGAACAGAAGATACAGTGAAGCAGAGGCAGGAGGCCAAGGTGCTGGCATTGGGAAATCTATCACCTCGCCAGGAAACTAGACACGTAGACAAGTGTTTCCAAAACAAGGGAGAAAAGAAGGCTACGAGGGGGAAAGGTGCTCCCAGGAGAGAGGTTTGCTTCTCGAACGGGAGATGGAGAGAAGCTGTTCTGCGGACGTGGCAGCATTAGATTCGGGTCTCGGAAATTGGTAAGATTTTGTAGGAAAGAAACTTGAAAGAAGGGGAAGAGCAAACACAAAGTAGAAGTCTGACATTATGGTAACAACTTACAGCGGGAGAGAATGGGAACTGCTACCCAAACCGCATGCTGAGTCACCCTGCTTACTTGCTAAGAACAATGGGTGGTTGGGGCGAGATCGCTGAGCAGTGAGCCAGAAGCACAGTGAACAGTGTCGGGCAGGCAAAGGGTGAGAGTGATTGCTGACATAGCTGGAGGGAAAGAAAGGAGGTCCTGGGGGGTGACTGCATTAATGACAGAGAAGAAGAAACTGATAGGAGAAAAAAAAGTTTGGAGACCATGTTTACTCCAAATCAATGCTTATTCAACTCGTTTTTGAACTGTAACTTTTCATTTAAAGGTAACTCAGGGGTTGGAGGAACACATTGCAGAGATGGAGCATTTGGGTTCAGATCTGTATTCTACCATTAGCTGTCTGCGTGATCTTGGGAAAGTCACATAACCTCTCTGTTATTTGGCCTTTACGTGCCATCAAATCATTAGACAGTCATTCTCCACTCTGAATAAATAGATGAAAATGCTGTAGCTGTCGGGTAAGTTGGGTTGATATGACAAAGGTCATCAGTGTTGAGTTACCACAACATGAGCTCCTAAACAAATGCAACGAGAATAGCACAGCAGACTCTGGAGCCAAGCCACCGGGGGTCAAGTCCGTCCCTGCCATTTACCAGTTAACAGTGCTAAACAGGGTCCTGTATTATTATTATTAGCATGGTTATGTTGTTTCCCAACCCTCCATGGACGACCTCTAGTCTCATGACTCTCCAAAGTCTTACAGAAGCAAAAACAAAAAGAAATGTTTAGAGATAAATTTCAAGCAGAGGCACTATTCTTTTTCTGTCTAATAAAAATATTAAAATGCTATTACAAAAATAGCCCAAACTCACTCCTTTCCCCTCTCTTCAGTAAGAGACAATTTTCAGCAAGCCTCAAAAGTGATGCTGCAGCAAGGGCAGCATGGGGGGGGGGGGGGGGGAGAAGGAAACGTGGTAAACGGTGTTCTGAAAAAATCAATTGCCCTAAAACTCTGAAGACTCGAACATCGAACATTCACTAGCAGACATGCTGTTTCTGGACCTCGGAGCTTTGGTAATGAGGACACGTGGCAACAAGCATAGGGTAAAGCAGGACCCAGGCATGAGAAGGGAAGAATGAAAAGAGTCCAGATGCCAAGTCTTGGCAGAACCTGAACCAGGCATGAGACAAACAGCTGGGTGAAGAAAGACAAAGCATGAAAGAACAAAGAGAAGCAGACATATCATTCATAAAGATAGTAAATGGATCCCTTTGAAAACATGTGATTTCCTTTTCATTGATGTATGCACCTTCTTTGAAAACACTACCTGTTGTTTGCTTGACTGAACATTCAAAAGGCACCGAAGTCTTTTAAGATCGGAATAGTCCCTAGAAGAAAGAATAACACAGTGTCAGTCAATAGAAGAGTCCAGGGAACCAGTCCTGTTACCCACTGATGGCATGGCCACCGGAGGCCTGCTTTAATGGACTGAAACATATGCACCCTAAAGATTTCCTTTCGAACTCTATAAACGATCAAATGTTTCAGTAAACACTGTAACCCAGAGTAGCAGTCGTCAAGGGTCTACACTATTTCTCAAAAAGCTATTAAATCTGGTTGCTGGCCACTGACTGAGTTAATAATTAGCAAAGACTCAGTATGGGGTTACCTGGTGGTGATTCCTTGCTGTTTTTTATCAGTTGACTTTTCTGTGGTCTTCACCTTTCTGTCTTGATCAGGCATTGTAAAACGTCAAGGCCCCAGAATTAACATCGCATTCCTTTTGAAGTAAACCAGAGGGAAAAACTTGAGTTGGGTTGTGTGCTCCAAAATATTCTCAGTTAATACGGCCAAAACTCACTTATAACATTTACTTAAATATGTAAAACCTAACATTTATTTCTAATACAATCAGAAAAGTGTTAATATGAATACCATTTTTTATTATCATTCAAAGGTAGACTTAGCCCTGGCCGGTTTGGTTCAGTGGTTAGAGCGTCAGCCTGCGGTCCAGAGAGACCCGGGTTCGGTTCCCGCTAAGGGCACGTACCTCGGTTGCAGTTTGTCCCTGGCCCTGGTTGGGTGGTGCGGGTGGCAGCCACTCAGTGTGTCCCTTTCACATCGATATTTCTCTTTCTCTCTTCCTCTCGCTCCCTCCCACTCTATCTAAATAAAAAATGGAAAAATGTCCTCAGGTGAGGATAAAAAAAAAAAAGGTAAACTTAGAGCATGGTTTATAATTATAGTACTCCAGAGCCTACAATTTCTAAGACACCCTTGATTTAAAATATTTTGGCCCACTGTCCCAACAAATATTGTTCTGCATGTCAGGAAAAATGCCCTCATTTGGAGTTTCCAAAATATGTATCTATTAGCAAATATCTAAATCCCAACTGATGCTATTATGCATTCTTATTTGTCTTTGTTGAAAAGTATCCTTAACCATAAGCTGCTAGTTACGGGGTTCCTCCCTCACCACGGGTCATGCCCTTAACAGTCCCAGAGAAAGCCTCGTCCACTTGCAAATAAGCATTACAGTGCCCAGAGCAACACAGAAAATGTCCTTGGATTTCCAGAATTCCAGAAGAGTTTGAACTGCCACCTGATTCCCCACGTGGATCAATTCCAGTCATAAACTCTTCTGCATCAGTTGGATCAGTCCTGCACAGTCCCTGAACTCACCCAACCATCCTGTAAAAATCAAGACAATAGGCCCAAAATGGAGTCACTTATGCTAAGCCCCACATCACTAACCTAAGACTTACAGTTTCAGCTCTCCCAGAATGGAAACGTAAACCAGCATTGGTCAGTTAGTCTACCTGACAACCCCTGCCGTGCCCTTTCAGTAAAGCAACCTTGCAATAACCCGCCTGCTTTTTGCCTGGTACGACTCCCTTGGTCCTGCTCCCTTCTGTCTATAAAAGGCTTTCTTTTCCCACAGTAGCTCCGAGCCCCTTTCTAGCTACTGGATTGGCTGCTGCTGCCTCGTTTATAAACTGTTGAATAAAGCCAATAAAATCTTTAAAATTTACTCGGTTGAATTTTGTTTTTTAACAAGTGGGATAGTGAGCCTCAGAATACAACCCAATACACACTCCAGCCTTCTGAAGTAAGCTTTGTAGTCATCGGCACTTTCCAAGAATACACTGTAGTACTATTTCCCAGCCCACTCAAAATACAAGTTCACAAGTGAACCGAGCCATTTATTTGTTTGCTTTTTATCCCCTTAATACATTTTTTATTCATTTGTTTTACTTTCCAGAATAGAAACAAAAAGAAAGTTGAAGATACGCATACTTTCAACTATACAACAAATACAAAATTAAAAATACTATCAGTTTAATTTGATTGGATATGAAATTTTCCACTGTGCTTCGATGCTACAGCTTGACTCCACAGTGTGCTTTTCAGGCACGAGAAAGCATGCGCTACTGTCTTATAACTGCATGCCTCGATGTATTATGAAATCAGTGGTCACAGGCCAGGTGTTTCGGAGGCATTCAGAGGCAAAAGGAATTGCCAATGGGAGTTTCACTGCAACTGAATCTAGTAAAATTTAATTTTGTGAAATGTACAAAGACAGTTTAAGAAATTAAAATTGATTTTTTCAATCTAGTTGTTATATTTGTGACAAAGAGTTGAGCTGAAATGAAGAGTCGAGGGTCAGGCCTCTCATAGATGTACACCAAGAAAAACTCATCACTGATGTTTTAGGGTCGTGCCCAGGACATAACACTATGGACTCATTCATTCAACACATATTTGTTTACTATGTCCAACCTCAGAAAACTGCTAAAGGTAACAAAGGCTATCACAATTTTGCAATTCTACCACAAGCAAAGAAAAACTCACTTAAGAATTTTAAAATGTTTTGTATGGTATTCAGATAGAGATTTGAACTAGCATTCGCTTTGCTCAGAAGATGAAAGAAAGAAAGAGAAGGGGGAGGAAGGAAGGAAGGAGAAAGAGAAAAAGAGAGGGGGGAAGAAGGAGGAAGAAAAAAGGAAGGAAGAAGAAAGAAGAGAAAAAAGAAGGAAAGGAAGGAGGAAGGGAGGGTGGAAGAGAGGAAGAATGAATGATCTGTAAATTATTCTTTAAAAGCAAAAGATCCAAATGCTTTTTATAGACAGGTATTAAAATACCACCAAAAAGTACTAAAATAACTGGAAATCCAGTGAAAATAAATAGAATCGAATTTTACTATTCGCTCAAAGACAGAGGGAAGATTCCACGTAGACACACCAGCCCTGTCTTCGCATTCCTGCTCAGACCATAGCTGCAGACTATGAGAAGCAGGAAATGGAAGCTACAGAGATTAGCACATGAAAATGTGTGGAAAAGCTCACAGGCTTCTTCTGCTAGAGATCACATCTACGGCAATCAAACCCTGCTAAACACCCTGCCTTATTCCCTTGTTTAATCTCCGTAATTTGATTGACCTGGTGTGTGAACAGGAAATGATCATCTAATAGTTTTATCAGTTTAAGATTAGCATTTACTCTCTGAGCTGGAAGAGTGAAAATAAATAACTCTCTGGAAATGTTTCACTTAATTGAACAGTAAACAAATCCATCAGAATCGGTAGAAACAGAAAATTGCCTTTATGATTAAAAAAAAAAAAAAAAATCCGTTCCACTCGATGGCTGTTAATATAGAAACTACTCAAAAAAATAATAACTTTGAGAATTTGGGAATGCTTTAAAATATTTAATCTAATTTTATTTTAAAATATAAATGATGTCACTATACCAATGGTTATAATCGAAAATGGGGCCCAGAGATTAGCAAGCAGGTTTGGCGGTGGGGAGGGCAGGCAGTTCTTAAATCAAGCTGTCCCGAGGAAGACAACTTCTTGAAAAGGTGTTACCGAGACAGACCATGCAAGGGTGCTACCTAAGCCAAGAGCTCTCCAGACGGCAGCTTCAGCCTGATTCCGAGGAGTATTCAGGGGAATACAGTTTATGAATCAGAGCTGTCAAAAGCTGAGGGAAGCAAGCTGGACCTTCATGCTCCTGTAGCCTTTGGTCACTAGTAAGAGAGGACGTAACTCCCAAGCACTCCTGTCTAGGGAGTAAGGAGACTCTTAGTAGCTTGGGGGGGAGTCCTCCAAAACAGAGATACAGGAACTGGCTGTTAGAAGCAAAAGAACATGGAAGCCCATACCCAGGACACACACAGTCATAAGAAATGGAAGAGGCTCCAGGCGGAAAGCCCACGTCATCCCGTGATCCCGACTCAGGGGAGGCGCTGTGGGTGATGATGGCACAGGAACCTTTGCTGTGGCGACATGCGAAGCCTGAGCCTCCTGCACTAGCTCTACCACGGAGTTGCATTTCCCTCCTCCTCGGCTTGACCTCTGCAGATGCTAGCATGACCCGTGGCCTAGCGGCTGGCTGGGTCTCTGGCCCTCTTCTCTTCTCGGCCTACCCCCTTCTCCCTAAGGGATCTCTTGCAGACCCATGGCTTTATAATCCCAAAGTTAGGGTTCAGCCCTAACCCCACCCAGATCTCCTCAATGCATAGTCATCACCTGGACGTCTAACGAACATCCCAAATTTAATATACCCCAAAGAAAATTCTTGACCCCCCACCCTAGACCAAATTCCCATAGTGCCCCCCATTTAGTCACTGGCACCACCCAGCTAGTCTGGGCAAAGTTCTCGCTCCCTCTCCTTCCTCCCACATCCACGCCACCGACAAGAGCAGTCGGTCAGCTTCCGGCCCGCTCCGAGCGCTGCACTGTTCCGAGCCACTCTGGCTCTTGGGGGACCCCTGTCTCCACCGCCTCACTGTCTCTCTGTTTCCACTCTTGCTCCTCTACATCCGCAGGAACCCATGAGATTGATTTAAAATGTGAATCAGCCCTGGCCAGTTTGGCTCAGCAGTTAGAGCATCAGCCCGCAGATCAGAGTCTCGGGTTCGAAGCCAGTCAAGGGCATGTACCTCGGTTGCGGTTCGGTCCCAGGCCCTGGTTAGGGTTGTGCGGGAGGCAGCCAATCGATATGTCTCTCTCACACCAATGTTTCTCTCTCTCTCTCTCTCCTTCACACTCTGTCTGAAGATAAATGGAAAATATCCTCAGGGGAGGATTTTTTTAAAAAAAAAGCGAACCAGATCCTGCCACCCTGTGGTTTACAACCCTCCCGTGGGCGCCTGCTGCATCTGGCTTCCAGCCGTGACTTTCAGCTCCCAGCTCTGCCAGCCCTCCCTGTCGCCTCCTCCGCTGCAGCCGAGCTGGCCGCCTCCCAACCTCAGTCCTGCCTGGAACCCTTGGCACTTGCTCCTCGGTTCCCCTCTCCTCCCCGGCAGGCTCTGCCGTGTCACTCAGTCTCAGCCCAGAGATGCCATCCTCAGTGAGGGCTCCTCTGACCAATCTGCCACATGTCCACTCCCACACACTCACTTTCCCCGCCCCCTCCCGTTCATTTCCTTCTGGAGCTCAACATCGGACACCCTCTTGTCCTTTACTGATTTCCTTGCGCTAGATCATAAGCCCCGTGTGGACAGAGACTGTATCTGTTTTACCCGCAGATACATCCCCAGCACACAGAACAGCACTTAGAACAGGGAATGGCAAGGTATAAGCATGGCATAAAAACTCAAAAAATACTTGTCACAATCCATAAGGAGTGGCGTAGGTATTTTTTTTACCAGAGTTTGTGAATTATTTGCTTTTTAACAATTATGTACTTTTAGAATTAGAGCCCCCAAATCTGGTGCTCCTACTCAGTGCCCCAGGGAAACCTGTCCTCCCCACACTAAAAACTCATGCATGAAATATTGCAATTGCCTGATTGCCCAGTAAGACCAGGGGTTGGACCACCCTTATTCACCAGACATCTGAGAGGCAAACTAGAAATACAGGGTGAGGCAAAAGAAAGTTTCCAGTTGTGAGTCCACAAAACACAAAGTTTATTCTTGTATTATTATTTATTAATTATTATATTATTTTCTATACAAACAGCTGTAAACCTACTTTTCCCCACCCTGTATTTATTGAATAAAAAAATTAGTGAATGGATACAAGAATATTTTTTTTAAAAACTGTCATTACTCAAATCTCATTAACCTCCCCTATAAATAAAATCAATTGATGAGTATTTGTAATGTTATAATCATCTTGAGCACACTCAGGAATTATCTCACTTATTCACTATTTAGGAGGGAAATCACAATTCTAGATCAGGTAATATTCAAGAATGGTGCTTCTCAAACTATCTATGAAGTTGCTGTTTTCATTTCAAATCTATGAAGGACCAATGCTCCTGGTCCTTAACCTGTGCAGCAAGATAGGATAGTTGCTGTAAACATTTCTAAACACTTACTCTCACCTTATACTTACCTCCTCATAGACCAGAACATACCAGTCTGAACAATATCTAAATAGCAAGAGCCTAGATAACTGAAGTCTTTCTTTTCAAATAACAATACTGTTTCACAGCAACCCTAGATAGTTCTCTGAGAACCACTACCCCACGTGCAGAGCCTCGGGAGACTGAGTAGTTGCCAATTCCAGGACAACCAGGAGAGGGCGAGAGTGAGCCTGGGAGGGGAGAGCTGTGGTCAAGTAGGGCTGAACATGGGCTCCCCACTTAAGCCCACGGCAAGCCCTGCTACTCTGGGGTTCTGGTGGACAGTTTCCTTTGAGAAAAAGGTTCTTCTGCTAAAAATACAAATAGAAAAC